TTATCTTAATTAGGGGGGTCATCTTGATTAGATACTATAGTGTAATTCATTACATCTGAGCGCATGCTGATAGCGTGTCTCATTAGAAATGAAACCCCCAGCCTCGATGTCTGTAATCGTTACTCTATATTGGAAATTCATTCAGCTGTTTAGATAGAAGTTTGAAATTCAACAGGCGACGGTCCAGGGTGACTGACAGGGCTAGTGCCAATTCAAAACCCTTAAAATGAAGGTTAGAAAAACTGACCAGACAATTTCGAGCGATTGACAAGATTAATAAATTAGCAAAGAAAACAGAATTGTTGGACCGTGGGATTTACTCCCTAGACAATTTTTGGCTGAGATAGTAATTCTTTGGCTTCAAGTGAATGGTGCAGTTGCATAATATCATACATTAAACGCATTTAAAATAGTATACAATATAAATACAGTTTAGTGATTATGTTAATATTACCATCACTGTATGTTAATCATTTTTTTTATTCAAATAGGTAAGATAAAATAAGATAAACTTTATTTTATTTATTTATTTATTAACTAAATCAACAGCAGACACAAATCCGCCATGACCACAAAACAAGGTGTGCATAAAATTAAGTCTAATGATATAAATATTTCAAAAAGGTTTTATTATTTTCAAATATTTTGAGATTATAATAGGCTCATACATTCTGAAATGTTTCTAAAATATTGTTTTTGTTTTGTGTTATTTTGGAGAAGAAAAAAATTTAAGGTTTCAATTTGCATACTCTTTATAAATATATGCAGTAACACTACAACTCATATAATTGAATGATGACTTTAGACTACATATGTCCGGTGTCTTAAGATTCAAATATAAGTTATGTTAGTCATAGAGTATAATTCCTTTGCAAAATGTTTAACTAACTTAAGAAGGGGCTGGCCCTATTATAAATAGGCCTAGTTCAGTCATTCAGGAGAAGTCTCAGTCCATCATCACAACTAGCAGTGCTTCATAGAAAGAAGTGGGCCTAAGAGTTCTTTTTAAAGAAAAAAAATATCGGTCATTTGGAAGATGCTTCAGAAGAAGTCTCAGTTTTTAAAAGAACTCTTAGTTCATCAGAATAGATTCATTGACACAAGTTTTATTTCATCAATACATTACTTTTTTTAAAGAAGGCAAAATCTTTCAAAATAAGTCTTAGTCTATGGTAGCTACACTTATTCTGAATCCTGGCGTGCTAATCTACTATGACATACATTATCATACACATGATATACATTTACATTTGTCAACAGCTTTTCTTTTCAAGTGTCCATTCCTGTTGTCATGAAACTATTAGTTATTGATATTCCTTTGCCTGGAAAAAACATATCACATACTTCTGAAAGACGGTTAACGGAGCAACTCGAAGTGTTTAAGTACTTGATACATTCAACCTGAAAGCTCTTGATAACAAATTCCACTTAGATTTACTAGTAAAGTCCAGTTGAAACAATTTCCTCATCATCAAGAAAAGAGCAATTGCACCTGTGATTGGAAATTGTTGAATATCGTGTCTCGAATCATTTCCAGATACGTAAACGAACACTGACAAGCCCGCTTACTCAGGAAGCGGTATTTACCATTAATCATAATCCCCCGATGTTTCAGCATTAAACATTAAATAAGTATACAGTCGTGACCAAACCGCGTTTACATCCTTCTGCGTAATAACTACCGATATTTAGTGTTGACGCATAAATGAAATAATCAAACGCAGTTTCTGATATCTAAAACGCAACTGAAAAAGAAAATGCAGAATTTTGCTTGGATATCATGTTTATAAAGTTTATAAACATTGACATCTCCTTCTTGAAGACTAATTTTATGTTGTTAAATGTAACTACCTGTTAAGGATAAAGATGATGAATAAAACAATGATAATTGACGCTGATAATCACAAGGATGTTAATAACGAAAATTATGACTATACGATAAAATGTGTAACGATTATGACAATAGGGCTTAATAATAAATCTCACTTTGGTAGCTTTAAGCAGCCGACATTATTTTCGTCAAACATAATGTATCCAGTAGCAGATCCAGGAGTTTGAAATAGAGGGAACCAGAAATTATATAGGCCTATATATATCACATCTAGATCTCCCTAAAGGCACTCTCAAAATTAAATTTTAATATAATTTGCTTTTTTTCTTCATTTCTCTTTCATAATGTTTAAAAATTTAAGGAGGCGGCTGCCCTGTAAAGTATTCATTAACGTTGTAGAAATAGTTTTCAGACATTTACACCGATTCGATATTAATGTAAGAGATAAACCTCATCGCATGTCGAAGGAACAGATAAAAACCGCAAGCATTCAAATTTCCCATCCTTTAAGAACAGATGGCTGAATGTAGAGACCGAAAACCACTCTGTGTCAACGGCTTCCGTCTTCATTTCGTGTACTAATTGAAAGTTCCAGTCACCATCTATTGAGAAAAACCAGCAATTTGTGTGAATAGATCAACGGTCATCATTGTAGAAATAAAATTCCTCCGTTATGTCAATTAGAAAAAATAACCGCCGCTGAAAATAAAAATGTCTATGATGAAAGTGTTTAAAAGACAATGCTTTTCTGCAACAATAGCGCATAATATAATTTAATACAATTTATATACTGATAATATTATTAGTAGGTGTATTATCAATTGCCCAACGTAAGTTTAAAGAAAGCCGGCCTACATTTTCAAAAAAAAAAAGGTCAATCACACCAAATTAAGTTTTCTCCTTTACATCATAACTTTAAAATACGTTCTGACGTTTATTTCCTCTAGTGATAATAAATTAGAAATAATAATAATAATAATAATAATAATAATAATAATAATATTAAATAATAATAAAAATGATAATAATAATAATAATGACATTAAGTTACGTTGTGCATGCAGAAAACATATAAATCACGGAAAGTAGTGTTTTTGCTGTGGTAAGGTGTCACCGTGATACACTGCACACACAACCGCATCTCAAGTGTTGTAATCTGTAACGAAGGAACTGGAGGAAACGGTAAAACAGTGTGTTTTAAGAACTCACTCCACTAGTAACAAGCGATAATAGATCAGATTAGCGAGCGTTTGCTGTAGTCTGTCAAAATGACTGACGCATCAATCAGTACTGCTTGTCAGCCCTGATGTACATTAACCACCGCCGGTAAGTGACAAACGCACGCACAACCCTCTGCACATGTAATTGCACACCAATCTGTGTATTCGTCTATCTATCCACTACCTACTTTATCGTATCAACACAAACATTTGTAACATTCGGTGGGTGCTTTAATTAGTCATTTCCTTTCTATTTTTGATAAATGTTGTTACAGTATAATGCATTTAATGCCATTCACATAATTGCAAATGAAGAACGAAACATAACAAGTTATTTTACTCTTAAAAAATAAGCTAAAAAAAGCTTCAATTTAGCTAAAGATTGTTTTTTTTTATACAAACTGAAATTTTTAAGATTATTTTATTGCTTATTGAGAATTACATTTTTGTTGTATTGTTATTTACAATAATTTTATTGACAATCTATTTTATCATTGCGCTATTTGTTTTTTACTCGTGCTTTCATATTATGTTTTGTATTTGTTATAAGAGACTGATTCAGTCTTGCTGTAAAAGCTACCCTCGTAAAAAAAAATTGAATAAATACATTTTCCACTCAAAGTGCAGTTACGTATATTTCGCCAATTACAGGATGATCGATCTAAACTGAAATCTCTTGAACTCTTAGGAAGTTAAGTTGTTTGATTCATGAGAACTAAATTGTCTGACAGATACAGGTATCACCCAACTATCTACTCCACTATAACCGGTTGTTAATACAATAATGATACAAGAGGAAAACATTTCCATTGTAAAATAAGCGGTTAGATCACAGTCTCTTTGAAAATTAGGATTACATATGTGTTTTAACCTGTGGCTCCCTATTGTATTGGTGATCGAATTGTATTCTACTATTCAAAATATGCTTCCGCACCTGACAACAATTAATATGAAACTGAACATGCATTGTTTGATCACTTTTCGTCAAATAGTGTATTTACAGACATAAGGCATACAATGAAACGTGAATTATGTCTTCTCGTGTCTGATGGAAATAGGACAAAACTTCAAGATCTCTATTTCATCAAAACTCTAATGATCAATTTACGATTCAATAAATGTAACAATGGGGTACCTACAAATCAAAAATAGAATTAATCTCTCTTGTTTTCTTGATTCTAAACACTTCTAAGTACATATTGCAATCAATTCAAAATCGAAAAAGGTCATGACATTTCAACAAAATTAGTACTAATAATACTGCAGTCATCTGGACTGTTTCAATAGGATTACTCATGTTAAAAGTATTTACAATTTGGCAAGAAATGTGTTTTACTGGGAAACTGGTGTTAAGGATGCTGGTTTACAGGGTATAAAAATAGGCTTACACAGGGAGTTCATTTACAAAATAATATCAAGGTACTCTAATAAGATTTATACGGTAGCTTGTATCGCATCTGCATTGAGGTATGCCATTAGTGGAGTGGAGCTCGAAATTGGTGTTTGGATGTTCTCCTTCTAAATCCATGGTCCTAGGTTCAAAATATGAAACGACAAACTCCATTTTAAGAGCTTGCAATATGCGCTGTGAAACTCATATTGCTTTATTGGCGTTCACGCATTTAGAAGAAATTAAGTCTTTAAAAATATAATATACTATTTTAACAACAATAATTAGTTTGTAATAAAAGTTTAAACTTTTAATCACAACACCAAAAAATTCCTACCATGAAATTATTAGTGTATGTAAAGTTACTTCTTACATTTATTGCCTTTATTAGGATGTAAACGGCAAGTAGAAGAATGTGCAATTAGGTCATAAATAATTTACACAAACATTTATGTGAAGGGCTACGTGAAAATTCCTGCACATTGTAACAATTTCCGCCATGCGCCCTCTAGAGATATTTAATTGAGTGTCGACTGAGAATATTCTGTCCTGTGCTAGACACAACTTGAGGTCATGGTCGGGGCTGGTTGTTGGCTGCCCTTTTAATCACATACACTGGTCCAGCAGGGAAATCCTCTTAACAAAATGTTGCTCAACTGTTTGATATTTGTATTAAGATATTTTTAACGAAATTTAAAAATCTGAAGAATGTTAAGAGCACGTCAGGATATGTGACTCCTGCATTAATATGGTAAGTGATTTAAGACGAAAAACAATACTCATCTATTATCACTCTTATCGTCAATTGCAATGATCCTAACAATTTACATTATGTGCGGAATACGTTGTCCTTGTAAAACGACTCTTAACCACGAATCCTAAATCGGTCTCTACTCCTATGGGATGTACAAAGGGATGGCATGTACATACATTTAATCATAGCCTTTGATTCTGTGCAATGTCATCATAATACGATCACTCCACAGTGAATCTTCACTAAGTACATGCTATGTTTAAGATCTCCCAGAACAACCGTTACTAATTATAAATAATCCCTATACGTTGCCGTATGTTAGCCCTAAATAGATGATAAAGTGAACCATAAAGTGTAATTTCTTATCTTGATAATATAATCTGCTTCGATCGTCTCAGGTCTATCACAGATGCAATTTGAAATTACATTAAACTTTTTTTTTGTGGCTTAGTTCATTCAATTGAAGTTCATGCCACTAGAACCCTAACAATTTATATTATGAAACTAAATCTAGATGTAGGACTTTTGCATAATGAAGTGTATGTTGTTTACATTTTACAATCCAAGGCCCACATCTAGTCGGTAAAAGGAGAACTGAAAAACAGATAGCAAATGCTGTTATTGCCAATGTATCTTCATACAAACTGGAAATAATAGATCCATGCAAAAGGGAAACTGAAAAACAGATAGGGTAAACTGAGGGGAAATGGACCCCTCGGGTGAAATGGACCCCAATGCAGCTTTTTACTGTTTTCTATGGGCGGCCATTAGGGCCAAAATAGACAAACATTGGCGTACGAACAATCCCACTCTTACACAGTAAGGACAATAAAAATAGATAGGCTTGAGACCTTCCATAGCAATACTTAGAGCACAGGACTAATTAATAATGACCCTGTATACTTCAGGTGAAATGAACCCTTGGCTAGGCCAGTGGCTAGGCGGCGTATGCTATGCTGCTTTATCCATGGCTAGAGGCTAGCTTGGCGTTTATAGCAGTGGCATATATCAACAGATAGATGTGTTGTGTGTTTATATGTTTGATTATGTATTAACTGAAGATAATGAAGTAAGATAATTAATAATTATCCATAATTAATAATTAATATTTTTATTACGATTGTAACTGGAAATTATTAATAACGGTTGGTGTAGGCATTTAAGGTGACCCTACATACATTACTGTAAATATTTATTTTTGTTTTTTATCCATGTAGATGCTGTTTAAATATCAACGGCAAACAAAATCTGAGCCAAAAGGGATGTCCAATCGATGGCGTTGGCAGTGGATGTGTAAGACGAAAAGAGATTGGCGTGAAGAGAGCAGCAAAGCAATTTAATGTGCCGATAACAACGTGTTCGCATAGACTTTATACTACAGTCCTGTATATGTGCTAAAGTACTAAACGGAACAACGACCATTAATTAATTAAACAATTATGCATTATCGATGATGATGATTTTCTTTTATTTATTTTACTTTTAATATCACTTAATTATACTTCTTTTGTGCTAAACTTCATTTAAATTACATAAAAAATAAATTTTAAGCAAGAAATTGGCTATAATATGTATTATGTTTTACAGGGGGCCATTTCACCTGAACCGGTGAGGTGAAATGGACCCATAGCTTGTTTACACAATGACGTCATTTAATTGTAGATTGCAAAATAATTATCACCAATTTTTATATTCATTGTGAAGGGTATATATGCCTCTTCAATTGACATAATTAGGTACATTACCGTATACGTTATGGCATTATGTGTGTATGAAGCAATTTTATGCTCAGGGGTCCATTTCCCCTTACTTTACCCTAAAGCAAATTCTGTTATTGCCGATGTATCTTCATAAAAACTGATTTAAGCCAACATCTGTGCTAAGTTTTCAATACAGGACTTTCTGAGCTCGATAGAGCATGATATTCATTCTTTGAATAAAACATTTCAAAATAAATAAATAAAAACTGAAACTGATTGTAGAGATCCTTTCTTCAATAAACTTAACTCCACCGCATATAACTGGTCTATTTGCTAGTACAGTTTAATCATACACATAAACAATCGCGATGATTGTCCGTTTGGTATGGTGACCGCAACTGGCACGGTATATCGCCACTGGAGTATGTGACCGGGCCTTTGTAAAGGTTAACACGTACAAGGGCCCTGGTTCAGAGTAGTACTTTCTCATCATTGGTCACGTAGGGTCTGGATGATGTTAAACACGAGAAAAAATGTAATTTGGGAAAATAAATTAAACTGTAGACCTCTGGCTTTAATTTTTTGAAGATTAAATGTGAATGGCGACCTCAGATCTAGGTAGTATATATCCCCAGTGGCCTCGACTGAACCAGCTCACCGGAGACATGAGACGAAATCGTTACTTGAATATAATTACATTTTAGAAAGATAATTTCAAAACTAGAACCTTGTAACCAAGGACTATAATACCCTTAAAATAAATCAAATGGTTGGGGTCAAATATAACGAAAATTAAATTTTTGTGGAGCATATCATGAGTTCATTATTTAAAATATGTTAAATAACTATTTGTCGAAAAAAATTAAACCATTACCGGTCATCATCCTTAGCAAAGTACAAGGGAACATAGTGACAACATATTATGAAGCATGTTAAAATAGTATTATACCTTAAAATTTGAATTGCTTACGATGAAATTTTAACATAGGCCTATATAGGCTATTATATTTCAATTGAAAATTAGAGCACAATTTCCGTACCAATTAACAAATGCAGGCCTATACATAAATAGTATACTCTCTATAGTCCTACTATTTTCAGCGAAGACTCAATTTTATTTGTAGTAAATTTTGAAAATTTCGTTGTAATATTCAGTTGTTTCAATCTGTGTTTTATCACAACTTATATTTTATTTGATCCTATATGTATTTCATCAGTTAGTTGATCATTTTTGACGGGCACGTTCGTGGTTAAATTAATATTTTTTTTCACACGGACTGTTATGTTCTAGTTAGCATGATTGATTGCAAAATATTACCATATACAAAGAAGCTATAACTATCACTATTAAAATTATTGTTATCACAAATATTATTATTATTATTATTATTATTATTATTATTATTATTATTATTACTATTATTATTATTACTATTATTATTAATCATGAAGGTAAATTACATACCCTTATAATCTAAAAAAAAAAGCATAGTGCCTAACTGTTACAGTACAAATTTTAAACAGTTTTTGTGTTCATTATTATATTATTTTAATTATTACTTCCGCTCCCGGAAAAAAACAATGTCGACGAAATCTTCTATATACAGTAGATATAGGTCTACCATAGGCATATGTGAATTTATAAATATAGGCCTACTGTATATAATAATAATAATAATAATAATAATAATAATAATAATAATAATAATAATAATAATTTATTAGGAACTACACTTTTCAATCAGTGGAACACTTCTCAATAGGAGTTGCTTAAAGGGGTACAATAAAGTTCACAAAAAAGACTTATGCTAAGAAAAAGACAATTCAATTTTTCAAAAGGTATATAAAGGAAAAGTAAAAAAAAAAGAAACTGTTTAAAAATTAGAAGCAATCTTAAACTAAAAAACTTAAGGCAAAATAAAGTGATGCAAACAATCACATGAACAATTATACGAACACCATACAAACGTACATGAAATACACATACATAAGTACATATATATCCATTCACAACTGCATATTCATAGTCACATGACTGTACCGTACTCACAATTATAAACATAAAGACATACAGTACATACTTTATACAACACCACTTATCACACAAGAAGCACACATAATAGGCCAGATAACACAGATACACATAAAATGCATATTACATTACAATTTTAGTTTGGTGTTAAGATTATTAAATTTATTTTTATAGTCTCAATAGGTGAATTGCTTATGTTGTATCTGAGACATTTTGAAATCTGCCTATATAAAATTCAAATTAATATTCATAGGGGGCGCTACAATGACGTAAGGATAAATCGTTGAAAGGAATTAAAATACCGAGATGTATTGACAATGACAATAAGTATAATACTTGGACCTTATGATAATAATAATAATAATAATAATAATAATAATAATAATAATAATAATAATAATAATACCAATAGGCCTAATAATAATAATAATAACAATAACAATAATATCAATATTAATCAATCGAAACAATGTAGCAAGAATCCACATCAAGCCATATTCGACGACGATAGCACTTTGACATTTGCACAGATTGAGTTGTTACTACTAAATAACAGGCCTAATTATAATTACAAAGATAACACTTATAATAATAGTCCTAATGATGATGATGATGATGAGGATGATGATGATGACGACGACGACGACGATGATGGTGATAAGGATGATGATGAGGAGGAGGAGGATGTTGGTGGTGGTGATGATGATGTTGATAAATTATCGTCATCATGTTTATATGATAATTATGATGGTGATGTAGAAGGTGACAATATGGAGGATATGAAAAGTAAATATGAAATTATAAAATAAAAATCTATACGCGCAATTCCCATTCCGTAAAGCTGATGTCTAAATGTGTGTAGCTTTGCTACATATTGCTTGGTCGTTTTTTCATTTGTACAACTATGCAACATTTTGATTTAATTTCCTTCGAATTATATTTAGCTAAAGTTTTTACCAGATGCACGTTTGTGTCCAGCTGTCAGTCTGATAATATGAACATCAGTCATTTGATGACCCTTCGAAAATGTTATATAAAAGAGCGTTACTAATTCAAGATATGCTTATCGCCATGATCAACAACATTCCAAAACTTCGCTCAAATTAATTTTTTTTTTAGGAATAACTGAAATCAAAAACCAATGTATTTACAAGGTCTTTTTCGTCATTTTCAACAATGGGGTCCGTCAAACACAATGAAAGGAAAGAAATAGAGTATTATTATGCTATGTTAGTGTTATTGATTGATTATATAAAAGAAATGTCCTTATCACATGTAGTGGAAGCGCTGTTTGTAATATCGACCAACACTGGACAATTTTTGAATGCATTAAATCTAAATTAAGTATAATAATTTTCCGCTAGTGTACGATGCATGCAGCTCTACTAATTATTTTATAAGTCAATCGCCGTATTGTTAGTTTTGATAACCAACTGATTTAGCAGTCATCGGTTGCTATAGTGATATGATCAGTATATTGTGTGCTTATTTACATTAGCTGTGCGTATGCTGATTTGTGTTCCTGTAGTTAACTCACAATGCTATCGACGTTACACATCAGCAATACACTACGGATACGATGGATAACTATTGCATTTGAAGAACTTGTTTGTAATTCTATTTTGATAGACATTCGTCAAAGAAATAAACATTTCTTAAAGCAATTGAGAGAATACAGTACTGTAATCACTTTTTGGTCGGTGTAGTGATGACGTCACGATTGACTTATAATGTTAAATGAAGTACTGTACCACGTATGCTTATTACAAACTTTTCTATTATTCCCCGTAAGATAAAAAAAAAAAAAGAAAAAAAAGAAAAGAGAAACGGGCATTCACTACGTCATACGACGAATTTAACTACGCTTCATGTGCCCGCTAAAAGACTTGATGCTGATTGTCGGTGGCAGTCATTAAAAACGGTCCGTTTTACGTGCGTCGTTGCGTTGGGTTTTCTATAGACTGGCGTCGGCAGACGATCATCTGGCTCAGTGTGTGTCAAGCTTAAGTTTTGTTTCATCGTGCTGAGTGAGTTCAAATCCATTCTACGCTGCGTTAAGTTTAAAAAATTATGGTATATTTTCGACTCCCATAAAGTAATATAGATTTGAAAAGATCACCATAAAATAAGTACAGTTTATCTTGATTTAGGTGGCCCTTGATATAGCGTGCTATGTTGTGTCTGTGTTTGCGAATAGTTGAACATTATGACTTGCTGAATTATATTTGTTATTGTTTTGTATAAGTCCCAGGTTGATAAAATACAATATGTAATTTTAATAAATTACTTCTAATTTTGCTTATAAAATTATGGAAAATGATAAGCAGAAGGTGGATTTTTTCTTATTACTATTAATTTGAATGAATTGTTATGACATTCTTTCTATTTTTTGTACGCCTTTGTCAATTATTCACACTGAAACTCTGTATTTGATGTAGTTCAAAACAACATTAATCTTTATCAATCCAAGCAGGCGGCCAGGTAGCTAGTTATACTGGATTAAGGCTAAAATAGTCGTCCCTATGCACATGCTATGTATAAATATCGGTTGAGGGAAATGCACCGAATGTTACAAACTAATCGTATCCAACGGGCAAGGAAGGCGGCTGCTACATGATGTATAGGCCTCATGTGGTGTAGAAATCGTTAGTTGGACTATGGTTGGACCAGCGGCTTCTGCTCGATTTGATATTCGAGAAAGAGCAAACGGAATACACATAGGCCAGAGTGGAACAACCGCTTTTTCACATCTTGTCACTCGTCAATCCCAGAAACCGTTCCGCTAAGCCCCTAGGATATTGTTAATAAAGCCGGGTACTCACTGCGTCGTACGACGCGTCGCGACGGTGGCAGGCCCGTAGCGTGGAGGGAGGGGGGTTAAGGGGGTTAAGATCGACGACCGCCCAAAAACTGGAGAAGGTCCGCGTTGCACACTCGTCGTGGCGTATCGTTCTCCGTAGAATCCCGTCGCAGTGAGTGCCAGGCAAGGTCCACAAAACGACAATGTAAACGCACGTAAACACGTGCTTTTTTCGGACAAGTGTTTTTGTGGGACAAGCGCGTACATTCCTGGCCCTGTTCCGATTGGTCAGTTATTAGATTTGATTGGAACTCTGTTATGTAGTTTGGTTATTGTTCTAATCATAGGCATACGTTAGTTAGTGGTGGGATCTTCCTGACGATGGCGGGGCTGTTGATTATGGTAGTGAAAGCGGCAATGGTGATAGTGGTGACATGGTGGTAAAATGATGATGATCATGATCATCATGGTGAGTTCTGTTGAAGT